GCAGAAGTGATTGAGATCTTAGAGTCCTACTGAATAATCATCTTAAAGTTTGCCCAGTTTTCTTTAAATGTTAGAAAAAGCGTGTCATGAAGGGACAATCATTTGCTGTTAGTTGCAGGTTATTGGTTCTTGATGTACTACACGGCACTGAAGGGGCCTAAATAATTTCTACTGTAAGTAAATCTGTAGTAAGTCCGAAGATGAGTAAAGCTGCACTTTCTTGTTTGTTTTGGAGAAAATGAATATTGACCTTGTATTTTTTGTAATTGTTTTCCAGAAACAGGAATTATTTTCTTCTTGAAAATTAAATACAGCATCTTTTATTGGGATTAACTCTGAAAACTTGTTTGCAGATTGTGGAAAGATAAAATAGTGAGGAAAAAGTCAAAACTAATGAACATGCTTTGAGATATGTATGTAAATCATGTATATAGCATCTGTGTCAACTCAAATATGAATGAAAAAGGAAAAAACAGGCATTCTAAAAATACATAAAACCTAAACCAACTCTTATCTTTCCATTTATACCAGGCAATAGGATCAGATTTCTTTCATCAGCCTCATTTTCTTTCTTTGCATATTTATGCCTATAAAATCCTTCAATTTTGGTTTTCCGCTCATTTTCAGGATTTATGCCTTTTAATCATTCAGTAAGGGCTGAACTGTTGAGCAATCGGAGTCTTTCACAGTCATTTTGTTTGGTAGAAGTTCCAGTAGTTATACAGCCGAGGGAATGAATGTTTGTCTTTGACAAAAAGGCTGACTCATCATTTTTAGCTCATGAAGGAATATTCGGCCATAGTACCAATTTCATTTGCATAGCCTGAAAAGTTAGTGCTTATCAGGTTCAAGTTTTCAGTTAGACTTAAACATTTAATTTCTATTTATTATATGTATATCTCTAAGAATTCAAATCCACTGGCTTTAGATGTTATGAATTTAAGATAATTCCATAATCTGTTTTTCACATGAAGCTATTAAAATTGCTTTTTATTAATGCAACAACTGTCTTGTCCTAACACCTTGTTAGAACACTTGCAGGTGTGTGTGCATTGTCATACACACATGCTCAACAATTATATTTTCAGAAATTGTTTGTGATATTATTAATGTACAAAAAATCTAGATAATTTGAAAGCAAGTAATAAAGACTAGTAATTAGTCTTGTGAAGAAAAAAAAAAAAGAAGGTGAAGTTCTCAAGTAATGCTCTTACACACTTGACAGTTATTCCAGCAAGCTGAGGTAGATGCGTGGTTTGCAAGTAGGGGCAAGAGCAAGTATTTTTAAACTGTAGTAAGCGTGTCCTTTTATTCTAGTGGGAATAGGTTAGTTTGATATAGGGGTCGGGTGGCTCTTTGCTTTGATGGTTTTGTTGGATAGTGAATATTCCCTCTTGGTGTTTCAAATTCAAAGTTTTTGGTATTATACGAACACAAAAAAAAAACCCATAGAAAGTGAAGCTGCGTTGTTTAGACTGAGAAGAAGAGACACATGATTAAATGTAAATTACAGTTAGTCAGTCACTGAATTTTGGGGGCTTTTACTGATTGAGGTTGCAGTTAGTTCCTCAAATGTAGCATGATGTTTCGTTCTGCATTTCTTTCGAATGTTTTTAATCTGACAGTGTCGCGCAGGAAAAGTAAGCTACTGAGTTTGCAGTCAGCTTTGCTCACGCTCCCAGAGTGTGTATGGCTCATTCCCTTCCTTCCTGATTTTGCTCTTTGTCCTCTTCTGCCTTTTACTGCCTTCCCTCTAGGGGTTCATTCATGCAGTCTTTTGCAGACACATGAGAACATGCTTCACCTGTGCTACGGACCAACTTAAAACAAACACTAGGAAGGTATAGGTAGCAAGTGGTAAGTACTACGACACTTGAAGCTGGTTTGGAGAACTAAGGGCTTCCACTGGCCCCATACTCATCTGCAGGCAGGTCTGTAGCCAACCCTGTGGTGCTGCGTCCATGTTCTGTTGTTTTTTGTTAGTTTTCCTTTATTGTTATTCCGCAGACTTCCCCTGCAAACCTCTGAGCTGATCAGCGCAATTTTGGTGGGGTGCTGAAAGACTACAAAGAGGGGGAAGGAGGTGCCCACACAGCTTCTGCTGGATGATGGGACTGCTGAATATGCTGAGTGATATAACAAGGGAAGCTACTGCCTGTTTAGCCTTCCAGATGAATCTACACCTTCTGTACACTTACATCTTTCACACTTCTTTCCTTATTACCAGTGTTGGTACTGGATTCTCTAGTGCTGTGCTTTCCCTGATCTTGGTGCCAATCCCCCACTTCTAAGAAGCAGCTCTGAGAAATAGTGACTGCCTGCAAAATGTGTTAGGTTCAATGTTTTTACTTGACTTTTTAACCACTCCCAGCTTAACAACATTGAATTCTGTTCTGCCTTTACTATTTCAAGCCGTGACAGCATTATCTTCCCCTTACATGCCTCACAGCCAATTCCCAACTTTAATTCTAGTGTCTTTATATTCCTTCTTCCTAACATTTGCTTTTCTTTCCCTCAATGTGAACAAGCTATTCATTCAAGATAAATACATACAGAAGATCAGCTGTTCAGTTTCTCTCTATAGTGAAATATTAATCTAGGCTACTGAACTTGTTCTGTTTTATATGGAAAATAAGTTGTTTAGTATACTCAAGAACCAGGATCAATGGTGGTGATACCACTTAATGAAAACTACAGCATTTTTTCCAAAGCTTGCAAGGCTGTTTTACCCTTTCTCTGATGTTCCTTGTGCAGCCTGATTATTGCAAATGCTACTTAGTCCCCAGTGTGTCTCTGCAGCATTGGTAATTAGTGCACAATACAATTTGCAGGAGGTGGGAGGGATAGCACTGCAGTGCATTGATTAATATTACTACTTAGTTTAACAGCAAGACAAGCTACCATGTACCAAGGCCTAAATTATTTGGGGTGGGAGTCATGGGCCATATGGAGAATAAATTGGTTTTAAAAATTAAAAAATCGCTGTACCCATTGATTTGACAGTGTTCAAAATATCTTCCCCAAAGCATTCTACTGACAGATCTAGCATGTTGACCAGAAAAATGCATTATAGCTTTATTAAACAAGTAACAACCTCTAACCTAAATGCCCTTGGGCAGAGTGCTTCCAATTCTGAGTGGAGGAGGCTACCATCATCTTCTCTCTTACAAAGCCATCAGGGAAAAAAACAGATCCTCTGTGTTTCCCCTAACATTTCTGGGAATGCCACTTACAGACTTGCTGTGATGCTGCTAAGTCTTACCCATGTGCTTGAGGGAATTGAATCTGGATGAAAAGGTGTGCTGCAAATGTAAGTCACTTAAAGAATCAGCTTTAACATTAATAAATGCCAACACTAGTCTAGTCCCGTTCTAAATTCTTTTTCTTTCCAGCTGCGGTAACTTACAGTTGAATGCATAAAAATGCGTATCTTAATGTGACCTAAGGATTTAGCCTGAAGTTCAGCTCCTAATGTGGATGTTTACCTCATCATGCAGACAAGTTAATTCCTTGTGGGTTTTTTTTTTAAAAAAACAAACAACAACAAAAAAAACCCAAAACAAAGCAAAACAAAGCAAAACAAACAAAAGAAACCCCCAAACCCCTGTCTGCTGACTTAACCTGTCATCTGGAGAACTTTGCTACTTCTTGGGAGCTCGTATTCAGGATGTTACAGAAAGGCTACTATACAAACTACCTCTGTTATCACTGCTGCTCTGCCACATAGGCACCAATGATACTGTTGGAATGACCTGGGAAGTATTATGTGTGAACTGTTGTTCCTCTAGTACAAAAATCAGTGGTTGTAGTTTAGAGGAATGGTGAGAGTGGCTTCAAGCAGATTTGTGCTGAAGTACGTAAGGAGAATACAGATGAGCAGCAGGTACAATAACTTTTTCCTCAAGTTGTTAACACATAGTTTTGTATGGGAACTTGTTAAACTTTTGACTTGGAAGCTGTGCTTTTGTGTCTTACATGCAGCATGACACCTTGGTACTGATTGATGTGTAATATAGAGATATTTGTAGATGATATCAACTGTATAGACAGTTTCTTACTATTTCTGAGGAGGAAGTAGTAAGTTGGATCAAAGAATCTATACCATATAATTTTTCCAAAATGTTTGGAGATGTTAACTTTATTAAATGACCAGAAGGTCCAGTGTTTGTTCTTTACTAATCTTAATGAAAGAATGGAGAATATTTGCACTTTTTTCCATTTGCAGATTTTTAGTCTTCTTCCTCCTCATTTTTAATATAGTTCTATAATTAAAACTTGCTTGTTCTTACTTTATGAAAGAACATTCATGTTATGTAGATCTATCTTTCATTTAAATACCTTGATATCAGAAATATGTCCTAAAAATATCTAGTAGCCAAGCTTAATAGAACAAATGATCACACTCAACATTTGAATCAGATAACTTTTCGCTTTGGCACAATTTGTGCTTTGCATTCTTCAAGTTCTTTAGTTGTATGAGCCTGAACCTTACACTCTTTAGGAGTGGATAATAGGGCCTTAAATTTGTTGTTGCTAATTACAGCTTGCTGATACTCCTTTTGTAGCCAAAATGTATGTGAAAAAGACCTCGGTATAAGTAAGAGCCTTGTTCACAACCTGCAAATTTCCCTGCCTACAGCAGAAATTCATCATGTCTCACTAGAGTAGAGCTGATTTTTACAAAAGATAGGTAGATAATTTCCTAGGGTCAACATTATTTTCAGCAGCCATTTAAGGGGAAGAGGGATTAGGAAATGGTGATGAATTTTTAAAGTTTCCATGAGAAAATTCCAGAAAATAGGTTGTAACTCCTACATCTGTGCTCTAGGTAACACAGCTCTCATTCCTTGGTGGGATGAGGAAGCTGTGAATCTGCAACTAGAGTGCTTTCTCCTTTCTGCTACAAATAAGAATATGGCAAGCCATTTTTGAATGAGAAATCTCAAGTTTGTGCTTCTTTCTCCATATGAAAATATGTGTTTGCTTCTATTTCCAATTAGAAACAGCCATCCTGGAACAGAAAAAAGAAGATTTCTGTGTTGAGTTTCAGTTTCATCAGAATTCTCAAAAAACCCGAAAATTTTTCATCCAGGCAGAAGCTGAAGCACTGAAACTTTCAGATTTGCCAGTAACTAGTCAAAGAGGAGGAGCCCCAAACGGTTGTTATTCCAGTCCTGAAGAGTCAAGGTAGAAATAAATCTCTCTATATATAGTTTTTCTGGATTCAAATTATAGACAACATACATACGGATTTTTGGATAAAGATAGGGAAGTTTACTTTGCAACTGAGAATCAGTAAGTCAGCTTTTTACTTAGACTCACCATATCTGCCCTTCTTTCCTTGTGGAATGCAGCATTTCACCACTGTATTCTCTAGCAGGGACAGTAAATATGGTCATGGTTTATGTGACACACTGCGGGTATTTCAATATTGTGATCTCTCCAGAGAATTTTGAAATGCATGCTGAACAGAATTAGAAAAGATGTTCTAAAAGTCTAGTAATACCTGTGGCTTTACCCAAAGCGGGATGAGTGAGTACAAAGCAGAAATGAAGCAGGGTGGAAGTAGGAAGCAGGAATAAAGAAGCTAGGAAGCCTGAATAAAGTAGGGTGAAGTCCAGAAGAAGTTAGAAGAGTGAAGATGAGGAGCAGTAATACCTTGTAGACAGTCTGTGACAGGCATCTGGAGAAGGGCACACATGGTTGAAAAGTGTAATCAAACTCTGGAGATTTTATTCTGTCGTTAATTTTGGTCATTTGTTGTCATTAATTTCCGTACTGAGCTATGACCTTCTACTGCAGTCTTAAGGAACATCTACACTCAGGTTATATGTGACATAGTATATGAAGGTATACCTAGCTGACTAGGGAACATGCTGCCAGTTTTGAGCAACTTAGGCATTCTAAAGCTCATGTCCTAACTGAGAGTGACAGAGTTGCTACTGAAAAGAAGATCAAGGCTGCAGAGCCCTGTGATGTACTTTTGAAAAATATACTCAAATTCTTCACCTGTCTGGCAGATTTTGCACTTGGTTTTGTTATCTTTAGTATGATCTAATGGTGACCTATTAGTCCAAACCCAGTCCGTAGTACTTTTCCATCTGTCTTGTTGCCTTTTTTTTGCATTAGGGCCTGAGATATGCTGTTGGGGCAGTGTATCCTGCACTAAAAGCAAAATATAATCCTGAGTGCTTAAGTATAGCCCAGCACAGAGCCAGCCAAAGATTGTTGCTCCTACTCTTCACCAGTGCCACTTGCACTGGCAATCAGGCTGATCTTGGAACACTGAGATTAACTTCCCACGGCCGTCAGCATGTTGAACTATCTCATCTGCAAATATATTGCATGTAGGATCCTAAAGCTACAGGCCTACTCATTGTGGTAGGTAGTATATAAACCGCACAAAATCCATCCTTTCACAAATAGGTTGAGGTTAGAATATAAGATGAGAAAATATCTTGATATGGAATGACTCAGGAAATGTTGAGTCAGTGTTGATTTGCATTGCAGATGATGGTCTTAGCGTACCATCAATGTGACTTGTCAAGTTTTCTTTTAGACATCAGGAAGAAAACATATGAGGGATTGAAAGATGGTGATGAGGGATATTCAAACTTGTTCATGGGAAGCAGCTAAAAAAACTTGAGGTTTGTAATGTCTGGGCAGTAGTATCCAGAGGCATCTGTCATTTGCAGTCCAGAACAGTACTAAATGAAATTTGCTAGACAGAGTAAAGATGAAATAGACTTTGAAGGATCTTGAAAATGAAGACAAGCAGTTTAAACACTCTCCCAACCCATGTATAGTATAATACACTAAGTAAGTACTGCTTTGATGTGAATGTCCTTGCTGTATATGTTCAATGTGCTTTAGGTTCACCATAGTTTGCCTGCGGAGTACAGATCTTAACTTGCTTCTTAAAGAATCATAAAGAAAATAAATCCAATTGAAGCAGGTGAAGAAAGAAGTGACTGAGTACAAACAAGTCTCTACCTAAGAGGGTGACTCTTTGGAGCAACAGATGGCTCTCCTTTTCTTTCTAGGATGTGAATTACACATAATGAAAGTAATGTATACAGTAGAAATAGCAGTTCAGAAGGCAAAGCATTTCTGTGGCTATTTCTAGTGACTCATTGGCTGTGAGGCCTGTAAACAGAAAATGCTTCAGGGAAGCGAATGTTAAAAATATTTGCTAATCCCCCTTCTAATACATTCGTCTACTGATTTTGTTGACATCTTACAAGTGAGATCTGAGTTACTGTTATTATCAATGGATAGCCAAGGAGTTTTATAGAAGTCTCACCTTGAGACAGAATTTTTGTGGCCATTGAATCTTGTCTTATTTTTCCTCTATCTATGTCTAAAAAAGTTATCTTAAAACTCTGTGAGTGGTATACAGTATGTAATTCCTACTGTCAGCTATAATATTTAGAACACCACCATCATTTTACAGATGTCTTGAAAATGAACTCCTAGATCTTGTCTTCTGGATATTCTCATTTCACTTCATATGGAATTGTCCATCCTGCTAAAGAATCTAGTTTCTTTCAACCTGAGCATTGATTTGATCCCCAAATGTGTCATTACTTTGTCTCTCCATGTTAAGCACAGGCTTGTAATATTTCCTTCCCTTAAGCATTTTCTCTTAATAGGCTTGATAGCCAATATATATTCATCTGGTTTATGCCTTAGCACTGCCATATATTTATTTACTATTCTAAATTTACAGATTTTTTTCAGAATTACGGATTTAAGAAGTGATAGGACACCCCTTCTACTGGCTATTTAATACATTTGAAATGATTAACAAGTTTTGGTAGTTTATTTCTGTGTATTTTGTTTCGGGGGGCAGGGGAGAAACTGGTTTTGCATTATTTTTCTTTTTTTTTTTCCTACTAAACACAGCACCATAGAAAGAAAGACTAAAAGGATGCTCCCTGATTTTATGTCATCATGGGAGGATGCTGCAGATTTAGGTGGAAAGACAGAAACTGCATTCCTTTTAAAAGAATTGGACACTCTGAGGGCCAAAAATAAAAAGGTAAAATTGACATATTCAGATCACAGTATTTGCTCTTGTATCATTGTCTTACAAAACATACATTTTAAACCGTTCCTAATTTAGTTTTGTTACTGATTTTGGTGCACAAATTAGTAGTTTTCTTGTCATTTTGGATTCTTAGTACCTGCTTAACAACTGCTTCGCTGGCATTAAAGAGATCTTTCATACTGAAAGAAGGTAGATTTGTATTAGATATAAGGAAGAAATTCTTTACTATAGGGGTGGTGAGGCACTGGAACTGGTGGCCCAGAGAAGATGTGGATGTCCCCTCCCTGGAATGTGCAAGGCCAGGTTGGATGGGGCTTTGAGCAATCTGGTCTAGTGGAAGGTGTCCCTGCCCATGGCAGGGGTTTGGAAGTAGATGATCTATAAGTCCCTTCCAATCCAAAACTTTCTGTGATTCTGTGACTCATCCTACCTTTTGACCTTTTTAATTAGTGACATAGGTTCTTGCATCATGGATGAAAACCAAGGAGGACAAAAACCAAGGCCAGTATTTCATTAATAGAATCTGGAGCTTGTGCTTCTGTACATGTGCGCCAGATAATGAATGTGCCCTGATACCTCCTCTTCGTTGAGGGGAAGAAAATTCTGTCCTACTTGCACACTGCATTGCTTCTAGCGTTAGTAGTGGTTGCATGAGCCTGAACAACAGGAAAGTCTATAGTCTTTCCATGAAGTGTCATTGAATATTCAACAGCAAGCACTCAAATGTCTGTCCAAGAATGGATTTAGTGAATTCACAGTTAAAAGAAAGGCCTCAATGTGTGCAAGACTACCAGTTTTCTATCTGTCGATGCACATGAATAATTATGCATTTACACCATTGTCTATTCAGGCTGTGATGTCAGTACTCTTGGTAGGAAATAGGCTATTCATGCAGACACCACCTGCATTATATTCCATGTAATTCTGAATTTTGTTAGCGAGAAGGACCACAGCTGGTGATACCTGAAGAAGAGAATCCCAAATAAAAATGGCACGCACATTGCTGCTTGTCTTGCAAAACAAGATAGGGCAGATGGTAAAAAATATCTTTTTAATATTTGTTGTTTAAATAAATAAATATAATTGATTGAACTTCTGTTGTATAGCTTAGTGTTCATACTTTGGGGATAAGAACCTGTTGTTTAATATTTTGTTGTGGTTAAAAGAGCTGGTTGTTTCAGCTAGGTAAGAATCTTACTGTCCATTTGTTCAATTTAGCTTCAAGATAAGCTGTCTGAAAAGGACAAGGAACTGAAGACAATAAAACTGGACTTGGAACTGCAAGAGAGAGCTACGGAAGCTAAGATTGCAGAAAAAATTGCAGGTACAGTAGGAAAGTGTTTAACAGATGGCTGTGTGGCTCATACAGTACCCGCGGTTGCTATATGACGTGGCCTAGTGAATGTTAGCTTTATTTGCTAAAGGAGGGAAGATTTGACTTTTTTTTTTTATGTGTGGCTGTTTAGAGTTGCTTAGAAAATAGGTGGCTTTAACATCCTGGTACTGGTATTAGCAGGAGCTTTACCTGTATTCATACTGATTTGGGCATTAAATGCATTGTTAACACCATGTCAATCCAATCACAAAAAGGTTGTTTGTTTTGTTGGAAGGTCCTGAACAAACAAGGGGAAATAATGATTACCAGTGCCTCTACCTTTCAACCAGCAGTTCAAATACCACTTATTGTTTTAGCTCGTTCGGAGCAATACTACACCCTCCCCGTGTATGGAGATAGTCGCGCATTCACCTCAACTGGAGGCCTGCACTTTTCTTGAAAAATCTGTTCTTTTGGAAGTTAATGAATTTTTGTCTTATGATGGTATGACTCCAGTCAGTGAAGTTTATACAAATTCCCAAAATGAAAGGTTTTCAAGTTTATAGTTGAAAGTGAATGCACGCTTATATTTGTTTTTAGTTGTTCTTTGGGTAGACAGACAAGAATGGAGATAGTTTGTATTCTACGATTTTGGAATTTTCTCAAGTAATGAAGCTGAGTATTTTTATTATTGAAAAGTGACTGTGTGTACAGTGTACCCAGTGGATGAAAAATACTGTGAGGTTTTTCTCCAAGTGTTTCAAATAAATTAATGGGAGTGCTTTTATAAATTCATCGTATCATTTGTTCATAACTAAAGTGTAAGCTAGGTAAAATTGTGTCCTCACAGACCACACATGCTTCATATAGAATTAACAGTACTAATACCTGTCCCCAAAATATTGCTACTGAAGGGAAGAGTAACTGTCTTCAGGAAAATGGAAGAGAAAATAAACTCTCCAGCTAAAAGAACAGATGGCTGACATTCCACTTAATGTCAAACTCCTAAGAATACGTTATTCTGTTTATATTATAGATAGAAGAGAGAGTTCCTAGATTTTCGCTGGTGGAGGAAGGGAAAGGCGAATATAATCTACATATTAGGAAATAAAATGAAATACAGGCATAATTTTATTCTTATTTCATTTTACATAAACTGCTTGCTTTATTTTCAGAAGAAGAAAAAAAGCCGCACTGCATGTCATGGTTATATTCAGCAGCCAAAAGCTAATGCAAATTGTTTGGGTTGAATCCCAAGTTTTGTGTTTGTTTCTGGATGTTTGCACAATGTTTTACCTTTGTACCTATAATAGAGAAATATTCTCTTTGATATAGGTGTTGATTGCTCATTAAAACCTGGAAAGAAATGTGTGTCAAAAGGTGTGTCAAGACCATGTTGAGTTTCATTTTTATGGATACAGTTGAAATATTCATTAGTAAGTTGGTTTTTACTACAATACTGTTTAAACTTTCTAATTATGTTCTAAGTGTAATATTATTTTCAAAACAGCATGGCATGAATATGGATATAATAATTAATATAGCTGTTCCATTTTAAAAGGAAGAATAAGCCAAATTTTACTAAGAGCTACGATGTATAAAAAGGATGACCTTTAAAATACCTTTTTTTCTTCTTTTACGAGTTCAGGAAGTATAAAATCCTTTAAATGCTGAGGGAGAGGGCAAGAGGCTCCTTACTACTTAAGCTGTTTGCAAAAAGGAAGCATCGTTAATATTTCATGGGTTTTTTGCTTCATGTCTTGCAATTCTAAGAATGTTACCAAGCTGGATAAATGTTTTGAAATCTGGAATGATGTGAACCAAACTGAATTTGTGGAGGTCTATGTGTGTGTGTCTCATAAAAGCCTTGGGAGAGTTCTAACGGAGAAGCAGAACCTAATAATGAAGACTCAGTGCGTTTAAGGAAAAACTTTTTCCCCCTGTGTTAAATCCTCTGAGCAAAGGAGAACACATGCTGCTGTGATTTTGTGTTGCTAGTTAATGTTTAATTGCTGCAGTGTATAACACATGGTAAAGCTTGTAAATATGGGTGTTTGCATTTTTATTATTACTTAGTACTGACTTTATGATAAGAAAATGACTCCACAAAATTATATTGTAAAAAACATCAGAAAGGTACACCATAAAAATGTTATCTACTTTGAGGAATATTACAATTCTATTTTAAAATGTGACCCTCTGATTGATGGGTTTTACCTAAACAAGCCCTGTGAAAAGAACAGAAAGTCTGACGACAAAGGCCATTTTTAAATGAAGCCACAACCGTCTGCAGAAACAAATAACCCAAAGCTTGTCATTTTATGATTTTTACTTTCTTCAGAGGAGAAAGTGAAGAGGAAAAGTGTAAATTTGTGAAATGCGTCATGAGAGAGTAAAACTAGACTTAAGGCAGAAGATATACATGATGGAAGAGAATGTTTAATACTGTGTGCAGTTAATATGTATTTTCAGAGGATGTTTATTTTCAAATTTTACTAGCCTGGAAAATGGATTTTAGAACTTCCTTGGGTCCCTATCTCTGTTTCAGGTAGCTATGGCTAACGAAAATTTGGCAGTTTGCAGTTTTGGTTTGCAGTAAGCATTAAAGAAAAAAAAATAAGCCAATGTCAGAAGATGCCATTAATTTCACTCCCCATTATGAAGAGAAGAACAGAGGTGGAAGCAACATTGGGAAAATCAAGGGAAGAGCACATCATAAAAGAACTGAGACTAAGATAATGTATGCAAAAAGGGGAACACCACATGTGAAGTGGGCGTGAAGAATAGACATAAAAATCATAAAATGTGTGACTGCAGAACTTTCATATCTTGAACAGAAAAGAGAATGGGTGCACTCTATGGGAGGGGAAAGGGAGAAGGAGCGCACATCTTCTGAGGACAGCCTGGAAGATAAAGATGGAGGTGTTTCAAAAGTGTAAGTCTTCAAAAGAACCAGATCTCACTTTGGATAGACGTGACAAGTGACTTCATTTTTGCCTAACAGAAGAATTATACAGGGGCTATATGGGAACTTTCAGAGGAAAAAGCTGGTTGAGTGTGAGAATTGTAGAGCATAGTGGTAGCCTGTCTAAACTGGAAAAAATACCAAAGCCCTAGTCTTCTCACAGTAACTCGCACTATTACTGCAACAAGATGTAGCATAGTTGGCATCAGAGCCCCAGCTCTTGGAATATTTTTGTTGCTATCACAGTGCTATTGGAACTAAGAATAATTCTGAAAGAATATATAATAAAAAATATTTTTCATTACATCTGTAGCAAGGGCTATTCTGTGTGGGTTATTTGCCAGTATCTAATAGTAATGTTACCAAAATTTAACACTTTTTAAATCAGGGTCAACTGATTGAGTCTATCCCTGCTAAGTCTGGTAGGTGTTGCACACTACCTTCAACACCCAAAAACTGTGTTAGCATTCTGCAGATGCTCTCTGAAAGACCAAGGCAGTGATAGGAAATATAGTGGAGAAAGTGGAAGACAGTACTTCTAATACTGTTGTGTATGTTATACAGCTTTCAGTCTCTTGGAAACTACAGCAATACGCCTATAATGAAGTCCCTTTTTTCAGGTCTGTTTTTACAAAAATGTCGAGAATTAACATTTGTGTTATTTTGGAATTCTTGAATGTGGTATGGAAATGTTCGTGAATATTATTTGAAGTTTCCTAAATTAACTTGAAAAATAATTACTGAATGCATATGCAATAGTTTTAATAGCAAAAGTGAAAACAAGTATCCAAGCGACTATTAGCATAGAGTTAGTTTGATTTAATATCCCATAAAGTAAGAGGAAATAAGTAATCTTCCTGGTAATAAATTTTTGGGTGGCAATAACTTCCAGCACAGAAGAAAAGTATTTTCCATTTCTTCAAAGCTCCCTTTAGAGTCCCTTTTTAGGTGTTATTTTTCTTTCTTGCATGTCATCCATTAAAGATTAGCTGTGGAAGGTTGGAGCATGGAGAGATTATGAATGACAGAACAACTCCTGCAGAATAGTAATCAGTTTTTGGTATTTAATGCTGTTTGACTTTTGCAGACACATTTCTTATTAACCTTTGGTACAAATAGAAATCCAGGTTCCTGATATCTCATGGAGTAGATGAATTCAAGATCCTCTTCCAATTAAACTGAAATAAGGCCAATATTGGGCTTTAGCCAAAATAACTCAATAGTTCCCAACCCTTGTGTTTATAAACCTAAATATGAATGATATTTTATGGTTTAGGTAGGTAATGTGTGTACTTCCCTAACTCAGTTTTCTGTGCATAATTCATTTGTATATATAGTCTATATAGTTCTTAGGGGTTTTTTCCTATTAATGCTTCATTATGCAAAACTATTTCCTGACTATTTTTTCAAAATACTTCCTGATAAATAACAGAATTTTGAAAATAGCTGTAGGATTTGAATCCTCTGAATCAGAAGGTAGAGAATCTACCCAAAGGACAGAAAAAAATCCCCAAGATGGGGGTGTTGTGACTGAAAACATCTCAGCTTAATTTTTAACAGCTTAATTTGAGACACTGTATTTTTACCTTCAGATTGTCAGAATTGTTGATTGTCAATAAGTTGCATGCAGCTCTTTGAAGTAACGATAAACAATGAGCTGGCATAGGTTAAAATGTAAATTACTAAGCTATTTATGAGTAGAGCTTGTATGTAGAAAGCAAGCCAGTATCTTCTGCATATTTTTCTGATTAGTCTGGCCCTTCTCTCTTCCCCACTACAGTGCTAGACGAACATAAAGAATTGGGTTTTATTCAGGAATAAAAAGGTCTGCAAATAATCTACTTCTTGAGGTATTACAAAAACTTTTCTTTAACTGTCAAATTATAACTTGCAAACTTTAATGCAACATTTATGTTTTTCCCCCTAAAGTAAATATTCAGGCATCAGCAATTATTCACTGAAAAAAAAAAGTTTAATAGTATTATGGTTTGAATTTTGAAGTCAGCTGTGTTTAGTGTGTTAGAAGCAGAGGCTTAAGTATTGT